TTCCATTAAAAGAAGGGTGTATTTTTATTTTGAAAGTGTACAAAAACTTTAATCTGTCTATAACTCAAAAACAAAGTTGACCAATAAAACTTTGATTATGGTATCATAGTTTTACAAAAAGATTTGCAAAAAATTGTCTTTACCTTTGATAATAAATCTGAAACTGAGTTTCCATGGAAATTTGAACACCCTGTGTAATTAAACAGCGCATAAACGATAAGATACGAAAACGGGTTAGGCAAAAGTAAGGAAACATATCTTTTTAATATGTGTAATTACAAAAATGGGACAACAAACATTGTTTTAATGGCGCTGCATATTTTTCTTTAAAATTTTGAATCCAGCATGTTTTCCCACATTCCTGTGATTATTTATTACATTTTTTCTATTGTGTACCTGACATTTTTGACAGTAACACGACTCGCGCATGCGCAGAATAATCTTTTTAGTGAATTTTCCAGGGAAAATACAACTTAAACCTGTGTGAATTCCATCCGTCCGTCTGAGGGATTGAGATCTCATCACTCAGACCTCGTACAAGGCTGCGTTTTTTTAAAAATTTAATAGGTTTCAACACATAGGGTGGGCAAAAAGAAAAAGGTATATTGAATAAGTTTCCATTCCATTCCAACTACGGATACTTCTCATTAAAATGAATCTAATGTCTGGTGTAATGAGGATGTTTCCTTGTTTGATTTTACCTCCAAGTCGTCCTTTAAATGCGCAGAGGGAGCAAGACCATGTCCTAAGTAGGGGTGAACCCCGCCTGGCCGCTGAGGGGAAAAAAAAGCCAGTAAAAAATAAGAGGTGAAGAAGCCAACTAAAATGCATGATGAATATGTGTTGGTCGTGCTAGTCTGTACAGCAAAAAGAAGAAAGTATTGCCAGAAACAAAAATAAAGATCACACCTCGTATTTGAAAAATGCCCTCCCACCTTCCTTTTAATCAAAATTGTGTTTTAACAAATCTGTTTGCTTGTGTACCCGTACTTACTTGCACTCGAACGACTGGAGCTACTATAATTACGATCAGCGTCCCGATCTCGCTCCCTATTCCTAAAACGGTCCCTCTCGCGTTCCCGTTCGATCCATTCACGCGGCTTCTCCCACTGCGACACCTCCGTTTTACAATTATAATAATACTTCTTACCGGACGAGCTGATATGCTCCGACCAATCGCCGACTCGAGTTATCCTCTCGCGTTCTTCCCTCTATAACACAATCGTTTATAATTTAATCATACTCTACAAATGACAAACGTTAGCACCTTATCGACACAATTATTGTGTATCGGCTTACGGTCGCGCAACGTGGAATTTTGCGTCTTTACGCCCGACTCGCTCCTGTCGTGATTCGTTCTATACTCCAAATCCCTACGTTTCTCCTTCGGCGATCTGGCACAATCTGGAACGGGCGACGAGTTAATGAACTTGTTTCGCGCGAAGAGTTGTATACCTGAATATTTATCTCTCGTAGGCTTGTAGTCTCTGTTTTCTCTCTCCTTTTCACGTATTTTCTGTATATAGGAGCCTTTAGATTGGTAGATTCTGTCCCGGTCACGCGGAGATTGTGAGTCCGGACTATCCGATCGGTAAGTTCCATTGGGTGAGTCTCTAATACGTTCGTACCTATCACCGCTCGAGCTGTAGCTCTTTGAGTTATACTTTGAATTCTACATTGAGAAAAACATGACAAAGGTTAGATTAATTCTTTGACAGGTAGCCATATTTATTAATTATCTTTATTTTTGCTACAATTTTGCAAGTAAAGGGGGTAGAACGAGAATGATATAATAATTTGAGTGATGGTGGTCGAGAATTTGGGATAAATTGAGAAAATTCAGTATAATCGGACCATAAGACCGTCGATTTGGGGTTTGTTTATACATTACCTGGTAGGGATGGGTCTGATGCTTTTCGAAGTACCTGTGAACAGAAAATGGAAGGTTACATTGTATAATCAAGATTAAAGCATTGGGTTTATCCCGAAAAATCGGAATTGTAATAAAATGCTTCCGCGAATCCCTACCCATCGTTCATCCGTTGCGTTTTCCTTGCATGCATTACCATCAATGCAAGTGTCTAGAAATGATTTCTGGCTTCTACAAAAAGCCGCTTCGTCATATATGCATATAAACAGTAATAACGGTTTTGCCCGCTTAACGTCTAACTTTCCTCTCGGACGCCATGTCACATAAAAGGGGAACAAATTCACAGCTGAAGGTAAATGCTCTCAATTTCTTCCGATGGCTCATTGGTTGACGTAGGGACATTCGCGTACTGCCAACCTCGCGCAAACAAAACACACCAGAACCATTCCTGTTTTACGCCCAAATAAATAATACTAACCGAAACGGCCTTTACTTCTTGCCTTCGATGATAAAAAACCGCCACCCGCACCGCCACCAATTACAATTACACCCAAGAACTCCCTCGGGAATTTTCCCGCATTACCACATATCACCAACGACAGTTGCCAACCTGAAATTGCCCCTAAAGAAAACCCAGGATGCTCCAACATGTACTAATACATAAAATAATACACATTTATTTATCGTGACTGCAGTAATTTTTTTAAAAAAGTGCGAAATTCGTTCTTCTAATTATAGTGCCGACACGCGATCTATTTAAATGCAGTGCAGCTAGCAATGTAAGTATTTTAATTGCCCACGACCCTTTTAACTTTAAAAGGAAAAATGGGGGCTAAACCTCTGCCCTCAAACACAACCCATATCCTTTCGAATTGGTAAAAGAGAATGTCCACCTTTTAAATCCTTTTTACAGTTAGATGCGTGACCTTTTTGTGCATAGGCGGTGTGCTCGATTATTTGGAGGAAAAATCCTAATGACTCACTTGATTGCATTTTCGCGTTTTAATTACTGGTGTAATTGCAAATAGATTGGAATTTTCGGTGTAATTAGCATTACATAATGTAGTGGTGCACAGTTTTTTGCTTTTCGAGGAAACCTTATTTGGAAAGGTAAGTGGTAGTGGTGAGATTAGCAATTGGGGGGATCATTTTTTCTGCAGCACCCAAAGGTAAATACAAACTTAACCTAACTTTTTCTGCAACTCTAAAGGGCGATGTAAACAATTGAATTTGCCAACCCTTCAGCTATTGACAACATTGTAGACAGACCGACTTCGTTTGTCGTTCATGCTTGAGTAACAAATGACGTGTAATTTGTTGGCATAGCTTACTAAAACATTTATGTTTGATTTACGGATTCATTGTAAATGTGCTCGATTGGCAGCACAGAGAAGTGCCCATTTTTCTCTATGAATGAGCTTTCTCTTATTCACGGAGGCATATCGTAAACGTCTCGTAGGACTTCTTTTTAGTTTATGAAGTCACTTTTTATTACAATAACTTTTGTACTAGACCTAAAAAATGCAGTTTTGTAATAACAATAAACAGGGGCGGCTTGTCTAGTAGTATTTTGTTAAATAATTTCTTTCTGGGTATGATAAATAATTTCTAGAAAGTCATCTTCCAACTGCAGCTGAGAGTAGCTCCGTAACATAATGAAATCAAACACAAAGTAAATCGGGCATAGCCGAAGTGAACGTGAAGATGAGCCGCAACTTGAAGTAGGACTTCAGTTGTTTTCTATCAATGGTATTCTATGAAGGTTCAATTTTCCATCTGAACTAACTTTTATTTATTTTAGTTGATGTTGGCACTATTACCGTGTATATCAATTTATAAAGTGTATTTTTTTTCACATCAAATCAAGTAACTGAGAATAAAGTGCGAATATTTAATTAAACTTATTTGACAGGCCCAGATTTATTCATCTGCTATTTAACTGCATTACTTACTGCTAGCAGCACATGAGAAGGCTATGTGCAGATTCTGCAGGAAGAGCCAACTGGATCCGTGGCGTACCAGTAGGTGCAATTAATAGAAAATGAATAGTAGGGATGCGTCATCTTATGCCTTCTTACGTGCCGGTACCATTACCTATTTCTACTGATTATTACAATAAAGTAATGAATTGATTTTTTAAGTGAATATACAGAGGAAGTGTTCAATTTTAAGAAGCACTCACTGGTTTTTATCGGGTTAATCTTGGGGGTTAATATTATCATATTAAACTGGTGGTGGTTCGAGCACACCACCCAACTTGAAATGTCACGAGCCGCCAATGATTACATGATTACTTAAACCTCGAATTAAACTAATAAAATAATGACATTATAATAGGTGAGTGAGTACAATATGTAAACAATTAAAGAGATATGTTTACTTTTGGATAAATAATTATTTATTTACTTTTTTTAATTTTTATTTTTGAGTGGACTGTTCTATCTCGTGCTCTACCAACCCAACCCACTATACATTTACAAATATCCAAGTACCTAATGTGTTCGGAATAGCAATGATTTCATTAATGTTGTCTTGTATGTTATACCACGATCGAGGCCACCACTTATCTGGAGGTTTTAGCTACTTCCAATGTGTTTTAGTAGGACTTATTGCCCAAAGTTGGTTTATTCTATTTGAATTTGTTTTCTCAGTATCTATTTCTCCTTTTAGAATTGTGTCAAATACGTGTTAGTCGCTTCTGTCTGTTTGACTGATACTGACTGCTCCTTTGTTGGGGGGGAAGGGGAAGAAGAAGAATCAAAAACCAACAAATATTTTGCCACTTTTTCCCACAGAAAACAGTTACTCCACTGTAGTAATCTTCTTGGAAATCAAATCCTCTGGAATCTTCTCCTTTGAAATCATGCCAGGAATTATTTCTGGAAGTTTCTTAAAATCCCGTGCTCGTAAAACTTCTTTGATCTTACAAATTTTTTTTTCATTTACACTAATGTTCGAGAGTCTTTTATACACAAAGAGTGTTCTACGAACTGAGTCTTTTATAAGAGGCTTCAGTATCATGAATCTCAAAAAGTCTCTTAAGAGCTTTTGAGAGTCTTTCAGAGTCTTGTAGATTGTTTTTGAGCCTTTAAAGTCTTTATTGGTCCCTAAAAGCTGTGCCTTTAATAATAATAATAGTAATTTATTGTGAAAAACAAAGATAAATGTTCACAAATGGATCAGAGTTGGCGATCTTCCACTCTTCTAGTAAAAACTGTTTCATAATATACACAAATCAGCAGTCTCTTTTCCTCGCGGGTATTTTCCTGGTTTCCCGCTGTCCAGTCTGGAATGTGAAACTGAATTTTAGAAAACTTTAAAAAAATGTTGTTAAGAGGTCTTCCTAGAAATCTTCTTGTATAACTTAAGAATTTTCCTAGGGACTAGACAGAGCGGTTTTGCCCAGCTTTGTAAAATATACTTCACATTAACAGGAATTATACAGGATGATCATCGTGAAGTACCTACTCTGTTGAGTGTTTCTCTGCATTTCAATCATTTTTTAAATTCGTGGATTATTTCTACTGACAAATGTGTAATAATAATATTTTATCTGAATCTGAATGTTGTATTCTTGCTTTCAGTACAATGGCGCATCGCCAAGACTATAGCGGGACGTTTCCAGGGAACTCCTACAATGACTTGTGCAATTCGTTTGACAAAGTACAACTGCGAAATGCATCGAAAGGTGAGTTCCATTTAGCTTTCGTAGTCACCTGATCGTTTCAATTTCAGATTGCCTACTCACGGATTATTGCGACATTCGAAGTCGGCTGCTTTTGTTGCAAAACGATGAAATGGATCTTTCGGTTCCATCAAAACTGGGTGACATAGTACAATTATTACGAAGGTAACATATTTGACAATCATTACGTTTCATTGTGCTTTGCAATATGGCGAATTAATATCACGCGATTTATTTACAGGAACCAGTATCTTTGAAAGCAATTTTATTCAATCAATCTTTTATTATTTTTCAATAATTCAGATTAATAACAACTACTTTTGATTATTTTTTTGATATTGATGATTCATTCAGATTTTCTTTCTCAATTTATCACTAATTTCATTCAGTAATGAGATCAGCAATCCAAGAAAGAAGAAGGAATCTGCGAAGAATGCAACAGACGAAGAAAGATTTATTTTAAAATTTGCACAGTACTCTTTGAACAATTCACTTCACTCAAGTTTATTTCAATAGATAATTAATTTGAATTTTTTGAATTTTTTTGAAATGATTTAGAGAGCCATAAATTACAGGTTTATCCAGGAGGCCCCTCGACATGTACGGAAGAACAAGGAACACTTGGAAGATGTTTACAAAATGCTAATTTTTCTACACAACTATATTTCTAGGCACATTAAGGTATTGACATTAATTCTCACTCAAAAAGTTTATTACAATATTTTGGATTTTTGAAAATGTTTGCATGCAGTCTGAAATTTGTGAAAACTACATTTTATAATTAATGCCAGTTCAAGGGTTTGTATACATATATCATTATCCCTGGTTGTTGAGTTTGCACCTCTAAAAAAGAGAGAACCTTAATCTTAATTATACTATCTTTGTGATTGATACGAAAGTATTTTCACTCGTCTATAATTCCTGGAGGAAAAAGCAGTATACCTGTATATATGGTTTATTTATTTCATCGCAATTAGTCTCCTCTGACAATAATTTTTCATCTTCAGTATCGCTTGTTTTCTGTACTTTATGTTTTGTCTTATATTTTGTGATCAATAAATAGTGCCATCTTTCGTGCTTAGTTGTTGTGTTCTTATTTTTGTGTGTATCTAACCAATGCTATCTATTTTTATATTTTGCTTCTATTGCTTGCCATCACTGCACTTGCATGCTGTTTAACGTATCGCTTACCTGCATTTGTAGTAAGTTCCTTACCTTGGTTATTACACCTTTTTTTTTTAAATCAAACCATGGGTTAAAATGTTACATGTGACTCAAAAATTTCGGTTTTTTTAAATTAGCGACTTTATCTAGGTGTTTCAGTAACCCCTTTCAGATTCTGGATAAAAGTTCGCTGCCACAAAATGGTGCAGTAATAAATGGGGGTGTGTGGAAAAAATTCTGATCTTGACGAAATTTTTTATCTGGTTGTTTTTAAATGTGCAGATCACAAATCCTAAATTTTCGAATAATCAAAAAAAAATTGCAACGTTCTTTCCTTTCTGGACAGCAAAAATTGTCACAATTTCATGAAATTTGTGGGGTACTTTTTTTCCAAATTATCAGTTGTGCACTCAAGACATTTTCCAACCTCTTGTGTTTTGTTGTTGGTTGCTGAGAAAAAAATCCAAAAGAAAAAACGCAAATTTTGGGAGTTTTGGGAAATTGATACGCCAGGGCCAATCTTAAGTATAGAAGTTGTAGATCTTTTTAAGACTAATATTTGTCTAGTTAACTAATTATTGAGTTTCAAACACATTTTTGCTTGCAGTATTTGGGGGAATTTTTTTCTTTCTTTTTTTTTATATTGAAATGTCGTTTTGGTATTGAGAATTAGACGTTAATGGGGATTTACGATAATTCCACCGGTTTAACCGAGCTGGTAGATTTTGCGATAGTCACCATTATTGCGACAATTGTTTCTATGGTGATTTCTTTCCCAGTTAGAACGGTTGAATTATCGTAAATCCTCATTGCTATCATTCTGTTGCTATATACAGGCTGTTTCACGCAAACCGTTACTTAAAAGTATTTAGCATAGTTTTTCATGATCTACGAAAACATTATCATGATTCATGATCATTTCATTTCACAATGTGGGTAACAACTTTCTTATTTTGAATAGAACACGCTATATTTATCGGATTTTCGAAATCTACATGATACGTTTGATACCACATTTCCCTATATCCGCATCTAAGATATAACAATAGTATAATAACTAAGGTACTGAAAAAAATCGATAATTCACTAATTAGCTCTTAGATTTCTGAATTGGTTTGTTGATGCTTCTTTAATAGTGTAATAGGTTAATAGTAATTGTGTTATCGATTGCAATTAAAGCGCGTTTCTTTTAAAAACGTATTGAGAGGGCAATGACAAAAAATTAATGTATTCGTAAAATGGATTCCGAAGGTGTTACAATTTCTATTGTATCCTGATTGCATATATATTTTATCATTAGCTTTTAAATTGATCTTTGGGCTTGTGTAATTATAGTTATTTATTATCGTTTTATCGTCATGAATAATACAACACTTTTTTTTAATAGCAGAAGCCATAAATCTTTGTAAAGGTTCTGACAATTCTGACTTTAATTTTGACGTCAACAATACTAACCTTATGTTCTGCCGTCGCGGTCGTTCCAATAGAAACAGCATTGTAATATGTTCTGAATTTCATTTTATTTCGAGCTCCGCGTCTCAGTTGAAATAAGAATGACAGATGTCATTTGAATGCACAATCATCTGTTTGTCTTTATCTACGCTTGCGGTTAAAGTGATCACTTCATCTATTTTGTTTTTATAGCATTTGAACAGGCACAAAAAAAATTTAAAAAAATACTTTCTCATTGCCACTTTTAATACAAGGTTTCGTTTCGGAGAAATCATCAACTGTTGATTTTTTATATACGTTTTGCATTTATTTATTACACATTTTGGGTGATGGGTCATTCTCTAGATCTTACCAGGCTTTCTGATAGTTGCTCTATGTGTTCTTAGAACATTTACCCTGTGCCGAAGAAGGCTTATATTGTTTTGCATTTTGTTCATGTATTCTTTATATTCTGTATCCTCTCGTTGTTGGATCTGTCAATCTGTATATTCCGTAATGAATATTTTTTAAGGCGACTAACATATCACTCTTTCTTCTATTGTATTATTTAGCAAATTTTATTGTAATTTTCATTCCTTCCAGTGCTTATTCTCTTGTCTTTTTATTTGTTAGAGTTCTAGATTTTTCTAAATATACTTTTTTTTCCTTGAAAGTTTTAACCTTTTATAGTATCTGGTGCCTAAACTGCTATGTCATACTAGGCTACTTTGGGGTACCTACCTACTTTGAGTACATCTGCCTTGTTTAGAGACTTGTATCGGTTTAGGGGATCCAAGGGTAAACTCTCGTTGATACGGTTAGAAGTCAAATTCCAAGCTGGAACGGGCCACCAGTGCTAGTATACAGTATGTTCGAGATAAGAGGGTTATTTCAACATCCTTTATTTGGCGAGATACAAAAAAATGTTGTATGTGACACTATGATCTATCTAATTTAGATTGTATCGCGCATTCAATTTTGTGAACAGAAGTGTTGATCTATGAATAGTTCCTCACGCCTCCGTCTTTGTTCCTTTGCTAATTTCGCATTTCCACAGGAAGTTTTCACTTAGTGAATGGTATAGTCTGGCAGCACTCCATTGTCGCTTTTTTAATTTAATTACTGTTTTAAAGTATCGTCCATATTTATAAGTAATGGTAGGCTTAGCACCCGTGTTTGTCGTAACCTCCTCCCCCTCCCCTCTATGGGCCATTCTTTTAAAGGGACAATTAGCCTTAAATGGAAAGTGGAAATCATACGCTTTTAACAATTTACACACAAAGGTTCTTCTCTATTAACTACTTTTTTTTTAATATTTAGTCGCAGTTTGTAACACTTCCGGTTAGTCACCAACTACTTTATTTTAAATGGCAATTCTTATTTTTTATTCCACATTTAGATTCCGCTTTGAATATTAAGGTCAGTTTACTACTGTTTTGGAGATATTTGTATTTTAAATATTAAAAACTGCTGGTTATTCGAATAGGTAATCATCATTTTTCATAATAATCTACGGACTCTTCACAAATTTGGAAAAAAAAAATTGTTTCAATTTTTCCAAAAAAATTCGGATTGGCATTGTCCTATACCTACAATTGAAAGTTTTCAAATTATTTACATTTTCTTTATAGCGCTTAGTTTAGTTGAGGTTGCACCATTTCTTTCAGCTTTTTTTTAGGCCTGATTCATATATCTGAAAAAATGCTTGAAAAGGATAGGTACATATCTCTGTAGTCGGAACAGTATGGTCTCCCCCTGTTTCTCGGTTGCCGTACTCCAAGCTTTAGTGAGGATTTTGGTTAGCATTTCTATCTCTTCGGCTTCTATATTTATTGCCTTCTCCTGCGTTATTCTATCGCGCATTGCTGATATGCCGTTCTTTTCTCTGTATCTTTTGTCTATTTTAACCTTCCTAACACCGGGTGATTTTTAAAACACCTAATACCGGGTGAGGTCCACGGGGACCCCAGTCTCTTTTTCATTAAAATGGACATTATCTTGCAAATTTTAT